AATATTGGTGTCACTTTGGTCCCTGAGATCTAGTAGCAGATTTATTTAGACATGCCATCTTCTATTCAGCCTCTTCTCTTTGTCACCTGAGTTCTTTCTATCAGAGCCACTCCCTTTTCTGGCTTGCAAACTTCTACCCATGCTTTAAGACCCAACTCAAAAGTTGTGTTTTCTGTCAAGTCTTCTCTAATTCCAGAGGTACAAATAACACTTTGATTACAGCATCTCCCAAACATTACTATTATGAATATTTATTTATATCTGTGTTCCACAGTGGACTTTGACTCCTCAAGACTAATTAATTATTGACTCCTCAGCACTTGGTGCATTGCTTAAAAAACAAAACAAAACAAAACAAAAAAAACCAAAGGCATTGCCCTCGAGTTGATTCCAACTCATAGCAGCCCTGTAGGACAGAGTAGAACTGCCCCATAGGGTTTCCAAGGCTGTAAATCTTTACAGAAGTAGATTTCCACATCTTTTTCCAATGGAGCGGCTGGTGGGTTCAAACCGCTGACCTGTCGGTTATCAGGCACATTGCTTAGCACCAGTAAATACTTAATAATTACTTGTTGAGTAACACTAAGATTACAGAAAGGGAGAAGGGGTAAAGAAAGGGACAGAGAATCTATCTATAGACCTATAGCATGTGACATTGTTGGAGTAGTTTTTTTCTCTTCTGGTATTTACCTTTTGCACTTTTTTTCAGCCTTTACGTTAAAAACCAAGTCACGTATTCTTTTAGTTGAGGCTCACCTAAGAAGGCAGAACACGTGATTATGATTCTGAGGCTCTGATGTTGACTGTGCGCCATGGCTTCAGTGAGTTAGCACTAAGAGGCAGTGCGTTTCCTCCTGGGGAGGCACTTTGCAATGTACTGGCCATGCCAGTGGAGAGGGCTGCCTGGTTTACATCTCAGGGTCCACGACGCTAGGCAAGCCCATCCAGGAGCAGTCTCTTCCAATATGTTGTCCATAAAACAGAACCATTTTCTAAACTGAGTGTAAACCTTGTCCAGTATTCTTAGTGGCTATTTTCTGATAATTAACTCAAAGTTTTGAAAAACAGGCAAAAGTTGTCGTAGCTAACATATGTGGAACATCTACTGTGTACCAAACACCGTTGTAAATGCTCTAGACATATTATTTCGTTTAACTCCTGGGTATTATTCTTTTCTCCATTTTACAGACCAGGATTTGAAAAGTAAAGGGATTTATAGTCTATTAACGGCAAAAGTGGGATATATCCATGTTTACCTGACTTCAGGGCTCCAGCTTTTAACTTCTGAGCTGCACTGCTTCTTTTCACTGATTAATAATTGTTATATCTTACTGCTTACTCAAAACTGGTTTCTCCTAGGGTACGTAAAACCCTTGCAATGGCTCACTTGGTGTCTTTAATTTAGAGTCAAACTGTTCCAAAGGCTTATGAGAGCTCACCACCTTTGGAGTCCTTGTAGCATGAAGGCTCTGTTCTTTTATTCCTCCTCCGTAGTAGACTTGACAGTAAGTGGAGCTTCTGTCCATTTTACAGCAATAGAAACTGAGCTTCAGATCAAATTAAGTGACTTGTTTGCTGTTACGTAATAAACACGTGAACGTCAGAAAGGGAATATAGGATAAATTTTGAGCCTTTTATATTCTACACTCTATACCATTTTTCTTCTGTGTAATGAGTTGTTGATCATAATCTATTGTCTATTAGAATGATTTCCACATAAGAATTTGACACAGTTAAACTACATTTAACTACGTTTATTGAATGAGCAAAGGTATTGAACGATTTATCTATTCTTATTGCCAGGTCTTCCATAACAGATCTGAAGAAATTAATCAAGTAGTATAAGAAAGCCCAAGATGCTTTACAAGAGGTAGCTTCCAGGAGAATATGTTGAAAACTATTTTCTCTAGTTCTTTTCCACATACTTTAAAATTTATGTTTAAAATGTTCCTTTGCTCCAGCTACCTCCATTTTGTTTTCTTTTTGAAGGTAGAAGATAAAAAGTGGAATCTTTTATTTATCTTAGGAATTCTCACAGAGAGAACTACTTGTGCCCATTTTTTCTCTTAGACCTGATCCTAAATGTGTCTGATCTTGGCTCGAAATTAAAGGTGTCCCAGCTGCCAAATCCAGGACTTTTGGAGCTTGATAGATACCAGGAGAGATATCATTTTTGTTATTTTTCAAGCATTATATTTTCTATTATTTCTTTTATATATTTTAATGTGAATTGCAATGCTCTTTATGTTTACGGTGATAAC